CCCCCCCCCCCCACACCCCGTCGGGAAAATCCTGGCTCCACCCCTGATCTATACCTTCGCCCAGTTCGCCCACCAGGCGAAGGTCAGGGTGAGAAATAAAAATAAAATGTTGATCATTTTTCCAACAATTATACATACTTTCCTTGATACTTATTTTGAACATTATCATTAGGACAATGTTTAAATCCACACTGTCCTATACCTTACACTTTTACACTGATTGTACTGTAGGCCCTACCAGAGGGGTACATTCCCAATATATTATGGTCTTCCACTTCTATAGCGCATGATACAGTGCATAACCAACGTTACGTAACCGCTACTATTACTACTAATAATAGTATTATTAGTTATATATCGCATATTGTAGACACTTCTTCTATGCGCTTAGCATTATTACACCCGGTCGTTGGGTCAGGCACATATGGAACACATAGGTCCAGTGGCGTAGGTATGGGCAGTGCAGCCAGTGCTATTTGCAAGTTGTTCTCTGGTGGGACTCGAACCCACAAGCAACAGGGCCCCGGCCATAGTGTTACGGCACTGAACGTAATGCCACTGTGTGTTTAGATCCTTTTCTAATTGTTCGATGTATGTAGTCGGGGCCGTCCTTGCTTCCTTTTCAAATGGGTTGGTTCCCAAAAGAGAACCCTTGAGTTAACTTCATTTTTACTTCTGTAGTAATGTCCAGCAAATACTAACCTTCGTACCCTCAAAGTTCTTGATATACAGGGGAATATCTCCATAAATAATATGTTATTTGTAGTTGATATTCAAGGCGTGTCTGAGTAATCTTGTATAACAACCATTCTTATCTCTCAAGAATTTGTTCATTTATCTTTCTATTTAAATTCCGTAATAAGGAATACCGTATATACTCGCGTATAATGCGACCCGTGTATAAGACGACTCCCGAGTTTTAGAAGATTTTTGGTTGATCAAGGCAATTGGGTTGATATTTGTATGTCGGACTAATTCCTATTTTTTTGTTGCCCTGATAGTGCATCTATCAGGCTAAATGGAGCCAAATGTAAGGGTAATCTTCCAAATAATACCGTTTTATCATACCCTCTTTGCAGTCGATATTTGGTTCCTGAGACGTCTTCACAGCCGCTATTTGGTTCCTGAGACGTAATTTAAATTGGTAACTGCGCATGCTCGACATGGCTCGATAACGTCACTTACTCAATGCACATGCTCACTGGCTGTCTAGCATTGTTTTTATAGATAATTCACAGACGTTATTTGGTAACCACGCATACGCATTGCTTAGTTCGGAATTCCCATTTCTTCGTAGTAAAAGCTACCGCTACCTACAGTTTCTTAATGACTATTTTCTCTTGATCGTTACAGCCAAAAGGTGCGCGCGAAAAAAGTACATTTTGATAAAACCTTATATGATATTGATATTCAAATATGTTGTCCACAGGAAATTGACGAACTGGACTACACCGTATCATTACTACGATCCTGAGTTCAGATCAGAATGCGGCTATTATAACGAAAGCGAAACCAGATTATTAGGTGGACACAAGTTTCTAACGGAAAAGGCTGTATATGCAAAATGGTATCAAAAGTACAAACTCAATTTCTATCATCCAACATGGGATGGCGAAGACTTGGAAACCAGTAACAACAGCACTTTCTTAGATACCCCGTATCTTCGACGGTATCAACACGCTATGGAAACTGGTGAAATGAAAAAAGCTTTGCTCAGACGTAAAAAGAAAAAACAAAAAGTTGAAAGAATTTCGAATTCTAGAGAGATACCGAGAAAACGAAAAGAAGCTAGGCTTAAGAAGGCACGGGGAAGAATTAAATCAGCCAAAGCACGGAAACGAAAGGCAAAGAGTGTGAATTCACTGGAAAAAAATAGCACATTGCAAGAAGGCAGTGATCAGAAAAATAATCAATCTACAAGGACTATATCAAGAAAATTCAGAAGCATAAACACTGTTAGATTATCTTCCTTATAACAATTATACCGATTATATGCTTGGTCACCACTGTAGGTGCCTATTGAGCTAATCGAGGAGGGGGACAGATGGTGTCTCGAGGACGATTTCAGCAGCACTTATTTCCTACAAGTTACCCTGCTGTTGTATCAGAAAGTATAGCACAAGGGGGTTCGTCGACTGCTGATATCAAAGGGATTTCGGACCCCTCTAATTCGTTCCTAGGGTTAATCACAGTAAATTCCTCCCAAACAAGTAATTCTGCAGCCAGACAAGGGCCCCTCTGACCAAACTTCCGGAAATCGAAATCACTCGAGATATCTTTTTCCACCCCAGCCACCTCCCTTTTAAGAAATTCGGCATGGATAGCCGAATCCATTTACGTAGTAGGCCTACGTCACGTACACTGCCAGGCCGTATTTTCTGTCGGAGATGGCTCATGTACTGTCGTTCTTTTTAACGATAGCGTTTAACCTTAGTATAAAAACCTACCTCATAGAAAGGTTATATGCTTTTACACAAGATACAAGATACTTTTATTGTCACTTATTGAAAAAAATCACAAGTAAAATCTTTTTCCTGATGCTAATACACATAATAAATATAAATATAAATACAGAGGTTAGTACAAAAAAACAAAAAAGGGTGAACTGCACACTCATAGCACAAGGTATAGCACGTGCATTAACATTATCATTATTTATCATAATTCACCCTTTTCTTCTTAATTGTTGTAATTATCAATAATATAAATATACATTATAATGATAAAATAATATACAAGCATTTTTAACCAATAGGCCTATTAAAGTAAATTATCAAAGGCGTGAAATATACCATGAGAAAAAAAACGATACTGGTGGACAGACGTTAAATTGAACGAACTACACTGAATGAAAGAGATAGGTTTTTCTTTTTTAGCTTCAGAATGAGAAAGCTTTCATTTACAGAGAGAAGACGACGATTTGGGACATAGAGATTGGCCTTGTTTAGCGCCTGAATTCAATCACATGAAGTAATGTTCGGTGGCGCTAAATGATGGTATAATTTCAGAGTGCACAAAATGGTTAATCTCATTAAGTTGTGTATTTGTATTATGTATATTATTATGTATTTTTCTTCAACATTAATAATAATAATAATAATTACATTATTATTATTATTATTATTATTATTATTATTATTATTATTATTATTATTATTATTATTATTATTGTAGTATCATTATTTAACTTATTAGAGTTAGTAAAAAACATAGCCATTGGCATAGATTTAAAGAAGCGCCACTTTGTTACCTCTTGCTGTTCTTTAGAAGCATAATAATATTGAATAACGGTTTAAGATTGTATTCTTTTATGTTGGAATAATACGGTTTTCAACAAGCATTTTAAGATGTTCTATTTTATGTACAAACGAATAAAGATTTAAAATCCAATGAAAAAAATCTCAATCTTGTTATTATTAGTATCAATATTAATCATATTATTATTATTTATTGACAAAAAGGATCGACGTTTCGTGTCCATCATGGACAAGTTATATGGTAAACGTCTGTTGATTCGTAATTATTATTATTATTATTATTATTATTATTCCTATTATTATTATTATTATTATTATTATTATTATTATTATTAAAGTATTGTCATTGTCACTGTCACTGCATTGTCATCGTTATCGTCATTATTCAATATTGTTGACAATAGAAGCAGTAAATATAGATATTGAATAACTGTTTAAGATTGTATTTTATGTTGGAATAATACCGTCCGAAAACGAACAGTTTAAGAATGTTCTATTTTATGTACAAGCGAATTAAAATTCAAAATCTAATAAAATAAATTATTGCTGTTATTATTAGTATCAATATTCATATATTATATTATTATTATTATTATTATTATTATTATTATGAAGTATTGTCATTTTCACTGTCACTGCATTGTCATCGTCAAGAGCATTATTCAATATTGTTGACAAAAAGCAGTAATATTGTATCTTTTTATGTTGGAATAATACTGTCTTATAAACAAACAGTTTAAGAATGCTCTATATTATGTAAAAAAATATAAATTTTAAAATGTAATGAAAACAAATCTTATTGTTGTTGCTATTATTAGTATCAAGTTATATTATTATTATTATATTTAAAAACCGAAAGGTCCACTGATTAATCTCAGATAAGATAGTATAATAACTCCAAGTATCGAAATGCACGCCATCGTGTCGGGATTCAATATTTCGACATTAATTATGTCATCAACAGGAATGATGATGACATAATTATTGTCGAAATATTGAATCCCGACACGATGGCGTGCATTTTGATACTTGGAGTATGTATTACAATATATTATCTTATTATACTTAAAGTATTGTCATTGTCACTGTTTGTCACTGTCACTGCATTGTCATCGTCACAATTCAATATTATTGTTATTGATAATAATGCTGATGTGGGTGGATGTTGTTACTGGTGTTGTTGTATCTGCAGTTTTTGCATTAATTTTATCAAAATAAACCATTCATTAAAAAAAAAATTATTTTTCAAACATAGGCTATTTTTAGTGGGTAGCCTTTTCAGCAATAGAGCTTTCGACGCGACGCTATAGAACGGAATCACTCATACGTGACCGCCCTACTTCGTCCTACAGTAGGTAGTAGGTACAGTAGGTTTTCGCTGTACGACGTTAACTTTAGGTTAGTACCGTACCCAACATGCAGTGCGATAGCTCCGCCCCTTTTGTAAACAAATCGAAATACGCATGCGCACACACGTAACTAATGTACGTCGAGCACGTAAAATCCTGAAATTAACGTACTCTGCAACGCAAGATGAATAAATTATGTCGTCATCCGTTAACGTATGACGACGTGCGGCGAAAACTGCCTAATACGTTCCTCGCATAGGCCTACGTAGATTTGGCCAAATTTCGTCCAGAATCCACGCGACGAGGAGAACTTTCAGATGACTTTCAGTGACGTCACTATGTTCTATATGTTTACGTCCTACCGTCGTCGTGCAATCGAAAGCGGCCTATTGCTGAAATTAACGAAAATGTACAGAAAATCAATGAATAACAATAATAGTCTATGCTTTGTCCCCACTATCAAGTTTTCTTTGACAAACAACTGTTATCAAAGATAATTAATGGCAGACGATAGAGCAGCTTCCCAATATAGTGGAACATCCGTTCAAAAGGCAGTGTGAGTACACGGAGAGCAATTTTACTGCAACCGCGCGGCGGCTCTATATAAAAATAATAAGGGCGCTGCTCTTGTTCGCTTGTTTCCTTTAGTTTCTCCACTTAGTAAAATGTTCAAATTTTACTGCAACGGCGCAGGAGGGCGAATGTTCCATCGATTTTAATGCAAATACGCGGAGCAGCTCATTTTTCTGCCATTTAAGTTCTTTGCTGTTATATGTTATATTATATTTGAAAAATCAGGTGTACAACAAACCAAACTTGCCTCCGGACTCTGGATTTAATGAAATGATAGGGCCTATGCTTTATTATTGGAAAAGGGCTAAATGCAAATAAATAAATGAATCGATGGAATTTAATAAATGTCAAAGACCATGGGATTTGTGAACGAATCAAAGTCGATACTTTTTGGAAAAACTTTACAAATACAACAAAAAGTAACAAAAAAAAGTATATTAATAGCACCTTAATAATTATAAATGAAGAAACTTAAACTAAACTAATGAAAAAAGTAGTAATTATAATACAGGTTATAAAATTATAAATTAAGAATGGGAGTTTTTTTGATTTGTGAACGTTTTTCCCATGCAGCTTTTGCGTACCTTACAAAAATTGTCAAAAATAGAATCATCATACTCTTCGCAGGGGCTTAACGGCTATGAGCCCTCATTGGCTAAAGCCATGTCCCCCAGCAAATTCAAATATTCTTTTTACAAACAAATAACCAAGGCAGGGGCGGATCCAGATTTTTTCACACAGGGGGCACATCAGTTTCAGAATAGGTAACTGAGTAACACATAACATAGATTTGCATTGAAATTTTTTTAAATTACTGGCAAAACGGGTTCACGTGCCCCCGTTCCCCCTACTGGATCCGCCCCTGCAGGCCCTTTTCCAAGCCAAAGTCTGGCGATCGAGTGATTGGTATATTTTCATTATCATCACTATCACCAGTCTACGTTTTGATGAAACACATGAGTACGATAAAAATGTTTTTGTCCATAAATATTAATTGATTTTAATTGGCTCGCTTTGTATGGTATTTATTGTAATATGTTTATTAGTGATATCTTAGTTAAAATTAAGTATGCTCTTTTTGGGTCAAATCACGATACATAAAATTAGAATTCGAATGTGTAAAAAGAGCATTAAAATACGTCATAGGACGCTAAACGACCGGAGCGGCCAGGAGCCCCGGGCCCCCAGCGTCTGTTGACCTAAAGGGCCATTGTCCAGGGGCCTCCGGCCCCTTCGTTACGCCACTGACTCCCGTCATATGTTGACCAACTGATTACATCCGGGAATTCGTTTGCCAGTTTGTAGTCCAAATCTAAACCTGAGCCTATCACCTCCAATGCAACGACCATCTTCGAATCAACAGACACATCTCACGAATGACGCGGTCAAAAGTGGTATTGGTAAAAGGATACAGAATGGCTGCAATTAAAAAACATTTCTGGTAAGTCTGGATATTAATTAAGCAATTATAACATCAGTGAACATATTTTTAAATAGCGACACTGCTTCTAATCCATAGCTTAGTTAATTTTTTAGATACCCAATGCCGCTCGCATTATTTTTTCTCATTCACGTAAGGCAGAAAGTACAGAGGGCGCTATTGTAGGCCAGTTGGGTGAACTGATACTCTTATATTTTATTCGTGTGGGAACATTTTTAACCTATGTTATGTATCACATGATACTTGAGACTATGACTGTGACCTATGTGTATGGGGTATTTTCCCATTCAAAATCTTTACCTACTAAAATATATTTCCTTCGTCTTATACCTACCTACTATTTACATTCTTTTCCAACTGTTGTTTTTCTTGCTATCCGCAGTGTATGGCCAATATAAATTTCATACAAAGAGGGTGCGCTCGCTCGCTCGCTTATCCTCTAGTATGTTAGACATTGCGATTAGATTTGACAAAATAGAACAATTTTTCATGAACACTAAAAGATTTGGCCTAATTAGTAATTACAGATGGAAATACACACAAATTCTACGAATTGTCATGGGTAAATGTGCTGGTAAACGTTAACGGTATGCATTTCCAGGATTCGATGTAGAATTATGAAATGTAGGCTTGGCACCTTGACATTTAATGATTAGCGTTGTGCTACAAAAACGTGAAGCAATAATGACATAGGCCGCAATGATTATTATTGTTTAATTTCGGTAAATATTTCAGCCGCTCCGAGTTTCTTTCCCATTCTTCCTTCTTCCTTTATTATTTTATATTTTGCGTTATTTTTATAATTAACAGATTACTTACATCATACATTCATATTTATTATACTTATTATTTTCAAATTACACTTTTTTACGTTTTAAGGCCTATTCATGTACAGTATGCATTGTGTTTGTATTTAAATTTTTTCAATCTTTGTCAATTTAAGTCCTGGTCCCCGACCCTTTTATGTCTACTTGGATAGCAAGAAATCAAGTGGGAACATTTTTAACCTATAACGATTGTCGAACATTTGAGATATTGCCGGGGAAAAGTTCATGGTTTTCCGCGATACGGAACAGTTGAACTTTCCTTGAAAAGTACAATACCGGTATGTGTTTCTTGGAGAGTTGATTCAATTTCATGCGAATTAAGAATTAACCTAATCTTTGATTGTCCTAATCATAAAATCCGTCAATAACCAAAAATATTTTGGGCCCCTCCCTCCCTTTGTGGGAAAATTTGCACCATCATTGAGGCTATTGTGTAAAAAAGTGATTCCAAACGCAGTAATTCCAAATAGAATGTATATGTTTTCGGAAAATTATGAAAAAGTCGTTTATAAGCTATCAGCTAATTTGAGAGTTTTTCTTTGAAATTTTCTATTCAGGTACCTCAACTTTCGTCATCGCCATAGCAGCTTTCGTTTTCCCTCTTTGTTGTAATGTTCTCTTTAATAATAGGCCTGTCTATATCTAAAGTTGATTACTTCAATCTGTTTCTTTTTTTACCAAACTAATGCTCTATTATTGCATTTGTTTGTGTTATTATTGCTTGGGCGGGGGAGGGGGGTGTGCTTAACAAATTTGGTTGTTAAACTGCGGACATGCTACCCATATCCACGGATACAGGATTTATAGTTAGTGGGGCCTGAACGCCCCACCATGGTTGGTGAACAACTGGATACCCGGAATTATGTTTGCAATCTGTAGAACCGCTACTCCATACCCTTCCCCTACCATACTCTCAAAGGGCAGCCACTAGATTTAAAGTTAGCATGGGGGATAGAGTCTATACCCACCTCAGCCAAATCCTTGGCGAACATTAATAATAAATCCATATATTTTATGGGTATCGGTATATATATTTTTAAAATGTAATTTCATTGAGAAAAAGTGCTCTGTTTCTAATTTTTAAACTTGGATTTTGGAGACTGACAATAAAAAAAACGCATGATCACCAAGTTCAATATGGTATATAAACTTTTAAATTGGCAATGGCAATCGTAATGTACGCACTTGAAACAAAACGTGCACGAGGTACCAGTAGATTCAGTTCGAGCCGGTACCAGGTTGAGCGATTAATTTTTCACGTATGGCACGCTCTCGCCGGTGCACTGAAACGGTCTCAAAAGCGCTCGAGGTGTTGACTGGCTTGATCCACTATTCAGAACTAAGCTAGGCGAGCGTGCCTAAGAACCAGCGCCAATATTATAGCTATACGTTGTGGCGACCTTGTTAACCGCTCGACCATACAACTATCAAATATCAATCAATTTATCAATCACTTGATCAATTAATTAATTAAACAATAAATAATCAATCGCACAATGCTGATAATGACGATAGTGATAGTATGATGATAATGATTGATGATGATGATGATGATGGTGATGGTGATGGTTATGATGATGATGGTGATGATGATGATGATGATGATGATGATGATGATGATGATGATGAAGATGACGATGACGACGACGACGACGATGAATATGTTGATGATGATGATGATGATGGTGCAATTTTGATGATCATTAATTTTCTAACTTTTCCTAATTCAGAAAATGATACTGAAATAAACGTAAAATTGTTCACCCTTTCAATGATGTTACCATTTATAGTGTCCCGCCTGATGACCAACTCGAGTGGTGGCACTTTGATGAACAGCAACTGACATCAAAGTTCCAACCGTCATTGTATGTCAACATGGGAGGGTCTAGAAATGAAGGACAGGATTATATTTACATGCGAACTAGACTGGACGTCGAACCAGACGCCATGAAACCGATGGACACGTCTGCGATGGGTGTAACGTACGATGCAGCCCAGTAAGAACGCTGTTAGGAAAGTACGTTTGGAATCAAGAAATCTTAATAGTTATCAACCTCAGTCATCCGTATGGCATAAATTTCTTTAAATGGATCGGCTTAAAATGGCAATGTACACAGTGGTTGCGCAAGCGGGAGGTGGGGGGGGGGGGAGCGCATCACCTTCGGACAGACCGGTACCCCTGTGGTGCGACGCCACGACGAGGTCGTGGCGTCGAAAATTTAAAATAAAATTGCCAATCCCTAATATTGTGGTCTTAGAGTTTCTTTTTATCCGGACTTGGCTCGAGACTAGAGTCGGCCCTTTGGTTCGGATCAGGCTAGTTACCTGGAGGTCTTGGGTTCGATTACCCGAATCACTTGCGATTTTTTTCTCGCAAGTATTTGGGGACGTACCGTAGTGAGTATTCGGTGCGATAGCATGCCAGGTAGGGCAAACATCACTCCAACAATATTGATATAAGAAAAAATAATTATTTATGATAATAATGTCCAAATTATAGTGTAATAAAAACTTCATAATAGCATAAAAATTCGGTTAAGCTAAACGCAATCACATCGTCTATAATTCATTTGAAGAACGTTAACATTATGTCGCTAAATGGCTTAGGTTGAAATAACGAATGTATAAGGAAAAAAATTATAAATAGGCCTATATTTGGACATATGCATTATGATACGACAACCGTACTTTTATATATGCCTAAGTGTGTTAAAGCGTTTTATTTTGTAAGATAAAATTCAGTGATTTTTATACTGCTAGGTACTACCGGTATGTCAATTGTGTTTTATAAATAAATCCGACAAGAATGATATGAATGCAATTCAATGAGGTTTGGCTAGAAAGAGAAGAAAGTGAAATAATTCTCTGTCTACGATTATTGTAATGATGGATGGTTATTTTGATCAAAAACTCACATTGTTCGATCGTTATAACTCGGTACTTTGTGTATAACTTCCCTATCTGATCATGACTAACATCGTCCAAATCTTTGGACCAAAGTCCAGTATAATGTTTGTAGTGAGTTCATATGATTCATAATAACGTTACAGTACGCACAGCAGTCAGTGAAATGGCGCTGGTAATTCCACAATGTACGGTAAGTTTATAAGTTGATATCGAATTTTTCTCCGTCGATGTTTAAGGCTTAGATTTGTTCAATGAATAACTAAAAATGCTGTTATTAATCTGAGAGTATATGGTGACTATTCAATAAGCGCACTACGTTTAAACCCCGTGGCTCTACATGGAAATTTTCTTCAGTCACCAAGTGTATAAGAACAAGATCTATAATATTTTCTTCGGTTTTATTGTGTAAGACACTCTCCGAAAATATAGCATATTAGACTTAATACAAAATATTGATCTTTAACGCATAGGCCTATTTAATGTAAAGTTTTTTAAAAATTCATTAGGCGTTTAATTAGTTTTCTATTTCGTGTTAAGTATACGAATATACCAGAACCAATTGTACCGGTACTGTATGACATAGGCTTAGGCCTACAATTAATGTGAACTGTAGCCACCGTAGATCGAAATGTATATTTTAGACTGTATTATTTTACACTGTAAATACGACGACGACCATTTAAGAACGTTGGTAAACTAGATTAGCGATTTTGATATATGTTATTTTAAATAGACGCGTACTTTACAGAGACCCTAGTGTATAGTGACATAATTTACAGTATTAGTGATTCAGTCAAAACATTGGTTTCAACAAAATATATTCCGGAAACGTACGCTGACTGGCAGGGTGTAGTACTGCTTTCTTGGCGACAACTCTCGACGTAGACCTATGTAGTCCTTATTGTTTAGGCCTGAAAAATAGCTAGATTAGAGAGAAACAAACATTTCTTCTTTTTTTTTTTTAATGAACGTTGCATTTTTAGGTTGCATTTCCGGGCTTGGGTAGAAATAGCATTTTTATAAAAGTATTTAGATTTGCGAAAGACACCCATTCACTTGATAATTTTCGTGAGTGTCCAAACGATAGGTTCGGTCCCTATTATATTTCCATATTTTTTCGCAAATCGCTTGACTTTACGCTTAGCTTTTATTTTATACTTACGATTTGATAGCTAAATATATGCTAGTTTATCTGTTAGCAGTAAAACCGGATATTGTGTTTAAATGTTTGTTTTGTGTAAATAACGTAGAGTAGCGCATATTCGAATTTGTATGTTTCTCTGGATTTTCGAACTATATACAAAGGAAGCAGCTTTAAGCAATTGAAAACATAAATAATAATAAAAATAGGTACTGGCTCGATCGCTTAAAACGTTGACTTATTTCTTTTCATGTAAATTAAGTTGATTAACACTGTTTCTAGAGTTTTTCTTCGGGTATAAAAATATTTTTTAATATTTTTTTCTTATGTCTTTTAAAGATAGAACAGTTACGCAAATTTAAATCACAAAAGTGCTTATAAATAGAACCCCTCCTTTGCAACACCCCTATTCAGGGAACATCCCTGCTAAGAGAAACTTTTCCGTGAAATGAGGGGATATTTTAACACTAGGGCCAACCCCTATTAAGGAGACATCCTTACTAAGGGGACGGCGACACTTTCTGTGTGTGTCAAATATCAATTTTTTTTTTAATTTTATCACTAATTTTGTTATTGTGTCATTACCAACCGGGGAGGATCCAGAGATGTCCAAAGGGTGGGTGCCGAAACGGGGGCCAATCGAGATAACACCACCCAGGGGGTGTGTTCTAGACCGCAAAAAATAACCTCTGAGACGTTTTGGGCGATCAATTTTTTATTTTTCCTTTATTTTACTTCATTTTTTACTTTCCAGAAGGGGGAACCAGGGGCCGTCCCATCACCCATAAATCCAGCCCTGGTTACAACACAATAGGTTCAAATGGTTCTTACTGTACTCGAGACGTTTACCTAAAATCGGGCGGAAGAAAAATAAAAGAATAAAAAGAAAAATAAATAAATTAATTAAAATTAAAAAAATAAAAATAGGCGATATTTTTCAAAAGAAAGCTTTAATAATTTTATAATTTAGACATACAAAATTGTATTCATCTCACAAATCCGGGTTTGCGTTGTCTTTCATCTACAACTTGTAGGCTTCTCTAGCTTAAATTTTAAGTAACATGTCTGCTGACTTGGGTGAACTTGTTCAGTTATTGCTTTTACGATATGCTAAGAAATAAGCATTAAGTTTCATAAATCTTTGTTTATTGTGAGTGCCTTGTGCATGAAGGAAATAAATTGGAGGAGCTATCATAATACTTATCTATCATATTCAACAATCATGGTCGAGAGCAAACGGAATAATTGCCATTTATTACTTATAGGCAACACTTCTATTAGTCGTTTTATGGTGTTAGTTTTTATTTTATTAATTTTGGGTACTTCGCAATGTCTCTTACATCTGATTTTTTTTACGGCGAGTTTGTTAAATGCTTCTATAAACTGCAATTTAGATGTGTATAAGAGACAAAAGCAGCTCAATTCATCTATGGCACTGAGATAAGAAATTCGATTTTGTAACAGTTATCATTTCGCAATAGACCGCCATTGATTTAAAATAGGCCTACGAATTGTGATTTGATCATTATTTTGAGTCATGCTACTACCTTATGTGTCCAGATATACTGTAACATTTTTAAGCCATAACGGAAGAATAGGATGCCCTGTAAAGTCATACTTTAAAAAAAAAACCTTCCATGTGAGGGTCCCTCATGAACATTACACAAAAACGGCGACCAAGTCAGCTATGGGGATCAAAGGCATGCTCTGATCGAAGTTTTTAGGCCTATGAACGGCACTATAACTCCTATATATAATCCTATAATATGAGGGCCACAAAACTTTAGTACGATATTACAGTATATATGCTAATACAATTAGTAATCAATATTCTGGCCCCAAAACCTAGACACATTGGTTTGCCGAGTGATCTTCTCAATACCTTCATGGTTTTACCATAGATCACAAAAAGATTATTTCTGTTAACTGAAAGCTTTGTTAGCCTGATCAGCCAACTTATATGCGTCAAGGTACCCGAATGTAGGTCAACAAATTTCCCTTTTACTATAATGGCCGGACCACAAAATGCTTCCGACAGCTATGGATTAGAGCATACATACCGTGAAACCTTTAATTCAAGCCAAGTGAGCTTAATCTCGAGCTAAAGCCAACTCGAATTGAAGCCCCCCTTTTTAGTTTGCAAAATTAGCCTCGAAAAGAAGCCTACTGTATCTCGAAAAGAAGCCCATGTTTTCAAGATAGCATAGGCTTCTTTTGTACATACACTGTACATGATTTTCAAAAACAAAGTAAATTTAGAAAGTGCTTGGTTTATACAGAGGTTTAGATGATTTAATGCCGTTAAATACACTCCATGATACAGATTGATGTCTCAGTGGCCTTACTCATTGTTTAATAATACAAATTCACAAAATTTACGGCATTCATTTTGAAAAGAAGCCACCTCTTTACTTTGCAAAAGTAGCCTCGAAAAGAATCTCGAAATGTAGCCCATCCAAAGTTCGCAAAAGAAAGAAGCCCAGGGCTTTGATTCAAGGTTTTACGGTATAATGTAGAAAGTGTCTTGAATTACTTTAATAAACAAGTAATACGGTAAGGCCTATTCTATTTTCTCACAAATTTGCATTTCGTGCAATCGGTCAAACTTTATACAAACAGCAATTGAGCAACAAATTATAGAACATGTTTACAAACACGAAAATGTTTAAAAACCCAGAGAGGTGGGCATAATAATCGGTCGACGGTCCAAAGTGAGTTTATATTTTTTTATTTAACACCAAGGGCGCACCCAAATTTTCATGCTTCCAATGTGCTTCCAAAAACACTCATGCACTGTTTTTTATACCACTGTATTCTAAGTTTTAATATTACATTTTCCAGAAGTATCATTCAACATCTATCAGACGCTTACTTTCTTTTCAGAATGAAAAACTGATCACAATACTTCTAATGCTCAATGGCATCATGATGCTCACATACGTCTACCAAGATAAACTACTTTATGATAGTAATGTAAATATTCTCAAAGAAAGGAAGACCTTAACGAGAAGCACAAACGCGTTTCAAAGCCAAGGTGGGAGAAGCAGTGACGCCATCGAAGAACAGTTGTGGAGAAACGCAAGCCCGAGTAGGAGATATAAGTCACCTAACATTACAAATATTCCTTATACAATTGATGAGGGTGACGCCGGATACTATAACTTAAGAAATAATGAAGTAAGTATGCATATAGTAAATCTGGAGCCAGATCTGTTTTAAGCGATCATTATCACTTACCGATTCTATTCGTCAATAATACTTCTATTAGTGTAATTGCTATTAAATATATAAATGAAGAACTAAGATTGATTTAAAGTACAATATTATATTAAATATGGCTAAAAATATAAATTTACCATTTCTGGTCGATAGAGGGCGCTGCTGTTGATCTAGTGTAGGTTTGTTACCTGTTTGATCACTGGAACGGTTAGTCAGGGGCGGATATATGAGATGAGGCGGACCAGTCCCGCCCTCCCCCTTTTGGAAAGTAAACTGATCGCCCAAAATACAAGGGATGTTATTTTAAGGCGTCTGGAAAACAAACATTTCGTCGATCGCCGCCCACTCCCACCCGAACATCTCTGGATCAGCCCCCCTGGTTAGGCGGGTACCGGTATATGTGTTTTTTTTTAATCAATTTAATAGAATATATTATATACAATACATTTTTTTTACTAACCTGACTTCCAAATTATAACCGTGCTGCACTTTGGCCTTTGGTCACGATTAGTTATAACATGTTTTCAATTGTTTGAATAAAGAGTTATAAATAAGGTGTGGCTATTATATATCGCTTGAAGGTCAAGACACTAGTATCAGGGACGTATCCAGGGGGAGCCATGGAAGCTGGGGCTTAAAATTTTAAAGCTTGTTCTTGCAGCCAATACGGTACAAATTATTTCCTGGGATCACTTAAAATCTTATATCCATAAATCCCAGGCCAGGTCATTTTAAGATACAGAAATGTGATATTGTATGGTTCAGTTTGGTTTTTATCATTTTGCAAGCTTTTATAAAGTTTTGTTTTTAATAATAATAATAATAATAATAATAATAATAATAATAATAATAATAATAATGATGACGATGAATTTTACTATATCAAAATGTCATTTCCGGCCATTTAGAGGTAGGCCTACTATTTCTTCAAATTTTCTCACCTCAGCACCAACCAATAAGATCTCTATGGTTGCCGAAAATCCCTGATAAAAGACCATGAAAAATTTGTTGGCACTTCATTTTGACTAGGACACATATATAATGGTGATGTGAAGATGATGAATTTTAGGCCTTTTAAAAGTGTCATTTCTTGCGTCTAGAGGTACTATTTCCTCAAATTTTCTAACCTCAGCCCCAGCCATGGTGGGCCTGATGTTGGTGTCAACTCACAAAATTTCCCCACCCCTCCACCTTTCAAAACAGATCTACACCCTTGCCTGGGTATGACATTAAACTACATCAAGTCGGCACCTGACCTTTTACAAGAATAATTTCAAAACAAAAGAATCAGAAATAAAATAGTCTTCCGAGGTTTTCATTTAAAAAAAAAAATGTTCTTTTCTTTTGTTCATTCTATTATGTTCATTATATTTCTATTAAAAAATGTAAAACAATGAAGAATGGGTTAAGAATGTCTTCCAAAGGAAACAATGCCTTTGCGCTGTCGTGTGACGGTCCCCGGGCCCCCGACTCCTAAGGGCCCCGGAGTTTCCCCCTTACCCAAGGTCTGGGCTCTAGCACCCTGGTCAAAAAGTTTTTTGGTTATACACCATTTTACATTCAAATTGAAAAAAAAAATATTATCTGTTTCCATCTTGTTTTATTTTAGGCATTGCGATTCCACTGCGGACACTGCGCTGTTGTCACAAACTCTGGCCATTTACTTAACAGCAGCGCTGGCTCAAGAATTGACAGCACAGAATGTGTATTGAGAATGAACGCTGCGCCTACCATAGGCTTTGAAGAGGACGTTGGTAAACGCACCACAATCAGAGTTATAGGTCATGCCAACATAGGAAAGACTCAAATTCTCGAAAGTGAAGAGCCTAAAATGGTTGTTATACCGTGGCTGTATGTAACAAATATCGACAGAGAAAAAAACGTGTATTTCAATATAGCGAAAAATCTGTCTGTGAATCATACAGGTGTTGAATTCTATCTATTCAGTGAGGATAAAGTTAATATATCCGAACAAATATTCAAAGAAGAAACGGGAATAAATATTTGGTATGTAGGCATATTTAGTGTAATTTTTATTCAACTTTATTTAACGAGGGTGATCGTAACAACAATAATACAGTACCGTATGGTACAATACAATACAAAATATAATGCTGACTTACAGGAACCCTTTATTTAAAGCCTACTGAATTATTTCAACGTGAATTGTAGGCCTAAAACTTTTACTGTTTATGCGAGCTAACAGGTGAATATATTAGCAGAATAACTCGAGAACATTAATTTTAACTGTTTAAAGTAGGCCTCAACTGGACATTAGAAAATTCTCTTTTAGATGCAGAGTAACGGATTAAATGGAACAGTCTTCCTCGGGAAATCAATAGAAGGCGAAACAGATTAGGAATGGCTAACCAATATTAAGAATTACCGTTTTCCTAACCAAAAATAAAACTAGAATCATTTATATTAGAGCTATCTATTTATTTTTGCATTATTATTTGGCATTATTAGGCCCAATATTGACAGGCCAATTATTAGTTAATACGTAAGTTTCGCGACTTAACACGCGCCCTCTAATAGGCAACTTTGGCAAAACCATATCTCTCTTGAAACTTTATGGAATTCTAAAATTCTAAAGATCAGTGACAGTAGTTGGTAGATATTATCATGCTGGGAGAAACATCCTAACACATATGAACAATTATGAGTTAACATTTTGATCACCAATCGTGGACCAACCAAATGCATAATTACAATAAATTAGGCCTCCACATACTGTGTTCCCAACAGCTACCACAGATTTACAGCAGAAATTATATAATGGATACTTAATGCAACATTTGAGGTCGATTTATTTTATAGCACAATAAAACGGATGTAAGCCTTGTAATTTTAATGTTTCTTACTTTTTAGGAAGGAGGCGCATAACTGGTTATCCACCAATCGTGGACCAACCAAATGCATAATTGCAACAAATTAGGCCTCCACATCCTGGGTTCCCAACAGCTACCACAGATTTACAGCAGAAATTATCTAATGGATACTTAATGCAATATTTGAGGTCGATTTATTTTATAGCACAATAAAACGGATGTAAGCCTTGTAATTTTAATGTTTCTTACATTTTAGGAAGGAGGCGCATAACTGGTTATCAACAGGATGGATGACTATGATATTTGCATTAGATGTTTGTGATCGTATCGATGTTTACGGAATTGTTCCTGGAGATTACTGCAGGTGAATGTCTTTATTTTCATTATTGGGGTGGGGGGCGTAAGTTTGGAGGACCACATTTTAACTGGATGGGCTAAACTGTTTGTAGACATTGGCGTGAACTACAAATATTATATACCGTAAAACCTCGAATTGAAGCCCAGTGGGCCTAATCTCGAGAAAAAGCCCGAATTGAAACCCCTTTTTAGTTTGCAAAATTAGCCTCGAAAAGAAGCCAATGGGCACTTAGGCTTTTTTTGGAGATAGTGCAGTACATACACAGTACAAAAATTTCAAAAAACAAAATAAATTAAAACCACGGTTGGTTTTACATTAGTTTAGGTGATTTAATGCCAGTTAATACACTCCATGATACAGATTGGTGTTTTATAGTATAAATTCACAAGATTTACGCATTCGTTTTAAAAAGAACCACCCTCTTTACTTTGCAAAAGCAGCCTTGAAAAGAAACAAATCTCGAAAAGAATCCCATCAAAGTTCGCATAAAAAATAGAAGCCCAGGGCTTCAATTCGAGGTTTTACGGTATTGAAAGTATAAGAGTATATTTAAAAAAAGTATATTCTGATAAAACCTGATCTGATATTGATATTCAAATAGGCCTATGTTGTTGTTCACAGCAAATTGACGAACTGGACAACACCGTATCATTACTACGATCCTAAATTCAGATCAGAATGCGGCTATTATAACGCAAGCGAAACCAGATTAATAGGTGGGCACAAGTTTATAACAGAAAAGGCTATATACGCAAAATGGTATCAGAAGTACAATCTCAACTTCTACCATCCAACATGGGATGCCGAGGACTTAGAAACCAGTAACAACCGTACCAACAGCACTTTCTTAAATACCCCGTATCTTCGACGGTATCAACGTGCTATGGAAACTGGTGAAATGAAAGAAGCTTTGCTTGCACTTGAAAAGAAAAAACACAAAGTTCAAAGAATTTTAAAGACTAGAGAAATACTGAGAAAACGAAAAGAAGCTAGGCTTTTGAGGGCACGGAGAAGAATTCAATTAGTGAAAGCACGGAAACGAAATGCTGCACCTAAGAGTGTGAATTCACCCGAAAAAAATAGCACATTGCAAGAAGGCAATGATCAAAAAAATAATCAATCTAAGGGGAATATATTAAGAAAATTCAGAAACATAAACACTGCTAGATAATGCCTATTGGGCCAATCGTGATGGTGGTCGTGAAAACGAATTCAGCTGCACTTATTTCCTACGAGATATCCGGGTGTAGTACCAGGTAAAGTATAGGACAAGAAGGTTCGTCGACTGCTGATTTCACAGGGATTTTGGACCCCTATGATTTGTCCCTAAGACTTAACCCATAGTAAATTCGGCCCAAGCAAGTATTCTGCGGACAAAAAATTTGGGCGTCTGCCGTCTGACCAAACTTCCGGGGTTCGAATTCACTGGGGATTTCTCTTTTCCACCCACCCACCTCCCGTTTAAGAAATTCGGAATGGAGAGTGCCGAATCCATTTACGTCAGGCCCTCGTTGAGATATGGGAGATGACTTTCATGTAGGCCTACTGCCGTCGATAATGATAGCGTTTAACCATGCATAAAACCTACCTCATAGAAAGGTTAAGCTATTATAGGTACATTAATATTTATTATCATTATTTCATACTTCACCCTTTTCTTCGTAATTGTTGTAATTACCTCCGCCAAGAAAGTTGTATTCACTGCTTGCTGTCTGTCTGTCTCTCGGGTTGTCGTTGTGTCTGTTCGCAAAAACTAATGAATGGATCATCATAAAATTTAGTAGAATGGTACATAGTAATTGAAGAAAGACACCAGTCAATTTTCGGAAGAAAAGGTCAAAGGACCAGGTTATGGTCACGGAAATTTGATTTTTGTCCCTCGAACTTAAAAGAAAATAATGGAAATTTTCTTGAGGGATGCTGTAGCACTCAATAAAATTATGTACCTAAATACGACGGGAGATTCCGTTATTTCCTTGAGGGTATGCTGCAGTTTTGCCCATCATACACACCTGTGTATTGTGGTACTATATTCAGGCACAGGGCGGAGGCATGCACTCTATGAAGTGACTGTTCTAGTAAATTGTGTTTTCATTTAAAAAAGCAATCTAGTTATTAATATAATTTTTAAATATAACTTACTTTATAATGTATACAAACATTTTAACCAATATAAAAATAAATGATCAAAGGGGCAAAAGTACACCGTGAACAATACAACCAAAAAAACGATACTGGTTGACAAAAGTTAAATTGAACGAACTACACGGAATCATAAAGACAGGTTTTTAGTTTCAGCTTAAATTAGTTAAGGGTGGGCGAGTTTTTTTTTTTTTTTAGATATGAGTAGGTCGTTTCAGAGAGATGACGTAGGAAACACAAAGGTTCGTTTGATCATATGTTTTTGTTTTAGATTTTGAGATAGTGAGAAGACTTTTATTTGCAGAGCGAAGATGACAATTTGGGACATAGAGATTGACATTCCCAGCTAAAATATTACGTTCTTAGAACGTTGTAATAACGTTACAGTTTGGTGATAAAAACGTTATTTTGTAGAACCATTATGTACGTACTTATAACCTTATTTCACAACGTCACAACGTTTGAACGTTTTTACTACATTCACGAACTTTGGTTTTGTGTTTTCTGGGTAGGTCCTATAACCATATTTTAAATAAAACGTCTGAAACAAATCAAATTGATATGTATACGGCATAGGTATTCATATTGGATCACTCTTTAGGATAGCTGCCATGTGTTTTTATTTGGGAGGACGTAGAACGTAATGACGTCATTAAAAGTCACATCGTCGATTAGATTCTGGAACGCAATTTGGCCAAATCTACATAAATTATGAAGAGAACGTAGGACGCCAGGTAGGACGGTCACGCATGAGTGATTCCGTTCTAGCGTCGCGTCCTCGCACAAATCGGAAGCTCCCTATTCTATGATTACTGTACGGTGTAATGCCTAAGTATTAAACGTCAATAATTAAATTTTACTTTAGCATTAACTTGTTATATACAGCCACCCAAAAAAATCAGTTAATAAAAGTAGACTTAAAAAAAGGCGAATTAGGCCAACTGATTAAAAAAAAAAAAGTCGCATAAGTTATTCTTTAAAAAATATAGTTTTAAATAATTTACAGATACTTACTTCCAAAAATCCTTAATTTTGCTGTCACAAAAGGGTAAGATAAAATATATTTAGAAAGGCGAAATATGCCTAGGCCTACTCATTAAAAAAAAGTCACATAAGTTAATCTTTAAATAATATAGCTTTAAATAATTTACAGATATCTATTTCCAAAAATAATTAATTTATAGCCGGCCATATAATGGGTATTAATATTGATATTAATTATTATTAACCTGTTATTATGCCTATTCTTATTATTATTATTATTAATATTATTATTATTATTATTATTATTATTATTATTATTTTATTATTATTATTATTATTGTTATTATTATTATTATTATTATTATTGTTCTTATTACTATTACTAGGCCTATACTACTATTATAAAGTGATAATTCACTATCATAGTATGGTGTAGTATTTATTTGTGTCGGTGTTTTTTATATATACCATAATCATACTTTTGCATAAATAAGATATATAATGTTAGTACAGTCTGTACAGGCCCGGGGGGGGGGGGGGGGTTAAGGGGATTACGACGAACCACCCAAATACTGGAGAAGGTCCGCATTTAAAAACGAAAAATTGATATTCGTAGATATATTTACAATTCTCAAGAGAATCGGAGATCATACAAACCAAAGGATCTCCACTTTCCACTGAAACGAACCTCCCACAAATTAAGTCACGCTACGTGCTTGCTGTTTAAGATATAGCCATTAGCATAGATCTCAAGAAGTACAATAATGCGCCACTTTAGTTATTGAATGTTTTATTGTTCTTTCATGTCGCTTATATTTCTAAATCTTATGGGTATGTCATTTATTCACTGTAGGTTTTGATGTGTTAAATTGAATTGTGATGCTTTTGAATGTATATTACTTTCAATTGATATTATATATTCAGTATTGATTTCTTATAAATTTCTATTTTTTAAATCTGTGCAGCGCCTGTGAACATTTTAAATGGATATTGTTTGCACTTTATTAAATAAAACATTATTATTATTATTATTATTATTATTATTTTATTCAATAAATGTTTAAAATTGTATTCCTTTATGTTGACATAATACCGTCTTAAACAAACAGTTTAAGAATTTACTACTTTATGTACAAACGAATTAAATTTTAAAAAATGTTATTGTTATTATTAGTATGCATATTATTCATATTTATTTGTTATTTTTTATTTAAAACATTTTTATCCAGGATACATTTTCAGGCAGGTGTTAATGCCCGCTTTTAGCAATGGTACGAAAGCCTATTAGGGCCACTGAAATATATATTTTTATGTCGTAATTACGACTTATTATGTCGAAATTTCGACATAATAAGTCGTAATTACGACTTACGTATGTC